AACTTTATTTAATCTTTTACTGCTAGGAGTCAATTTCCAAGCACAACAACCATTGCCAATACTAGATCCAGCAAACCCTCAGGAGCCAAAAGTAGATGTTTTTAAATTAAAATGTTGGGGAAAAAACCAGTAGTTCTATTCTAGGAATAGTCTTGAGTTTTATATTTTTTTAAGTAATTCAAAAATTTAGTATGAGGTGTAAAACTGAGTCAGGGTAAAGTAAAACAGAGAACAATGTTTCAACTACACCAGAGCAGACAAAACCATAAACCAAGTCCTAAAATGAAGCCAGGAGAATCAACACACACATGCATTTAGATTCTAAATATCTTCTGAACTATAAAAATAGTCGTTGTGTAATCATTTTCCATCTATGTAGACAAATACACATACAACTCAGATGGGAGGAAGCATGGGCTTGCAGTTAAAGGAGTACATTAGGAGATTTGGATTTAATTTCCAGCTCTGGAGATTCCTTCTGTGAACTTGGCCAAGTCACTTTTGCTCTGTGTGTTTCTCCCCATTTGTAAAGCAGGGATAACAACAGTTCCCTACTTCACAGGGATTTGGTGAGGATAAATCCACTAACGTATGTGTGGCTGTCAGAGCAGACAGTGATAGAAGCCATGTAAGAATCTAGATACATACATAGGAATTAAGGCTGAATTTCTTTTTTAAACCAATAAAACAAATAGTTAATGAAAGAGAACAGTGATCTTAGACTTTGTTTGCCAAGTCTTCGAATAGCTATTTATGGTTGACTGAAAAAGAAATTAAGTTTACAGGAATAATGTAAGTTCATATTCAACCTTACTTACCACAGAGCAGAGTTTTACCTTATAAGAAACAGCTGTGCACCAGAGAGAGGGGTATTCCTCAGAAAGGTTTTTAAAGGGGAGAATCCTTCGTCACAGACCCATGGACCTCAAGAAAACAAAAACTCACTTCTGAAATGTCTGAAAAACTGCCTCAGCCCCCTCTTCTTCCTTGATATGGAGGTCTCATAGACTCATCAACTTTAAGGCTAGAAGGAACCATCATGATCATCTAGTCTAACTACCTGCACATTGCAGGCCACAGAACCTCATCCACCCAGGGTTGTCCCTAGCCATTTGGGTGCCCTATGCAGGCCCCCCATGGGGGGTTGGGGGCCTGTGTGGGGCTCCAGGCCTCCCCCCGCAGGGTCTGGGAGGCAGGAGCTGTGGGGGGGCACTTTTTTGGGCCCCACAGGCCCAGAGTGGCCCAGGGGATTAGCAGGGGGCCAGGAGCAGCCCACTCCACTTCCCCAGCCCCAGCCGTGTTGCTTGGGGGAGGGTCTTGGGGGAAGGGATTCCCCCCCCGCACTCACCGGCAGTGGCGGGAAGCGGAGCAGCCTGGCCCCAGCCAGCTCTACTCCGCCAGCTCCTAGCCGCGGTGCTCCACTTCCCACCGCTGGTGAGAGCAGGGGGCGTCCTTTCCCCAATCCAAGCAACATGGCTCAGGCTGGGGCAACGGAAGTGGAGCGGGCTGGAGCCGTATCACTCTGTTTCCCACTGCCGGTGAGTGCAGGGGGGCGATCATTTCCCCAACCTCCCCGCACTCACCTGCGGCGGGAAGCGGAGTGACGCAGCTGGGAGCTGGTGGAGTGGAGCGGGCTGGGGCCAGGTTGTTCCGCTTCCCACTGCTGCCAGTGAGTGCGGGTCACTGGGGGAAGAGGTGGAATGGGGCGGGCCAGGGGCAGAACAGGGGGGGAAGGGTAAGAGGTGGGACAGAAGGAGTTGTCTGGGGCCCCACACCCCCCTAGGAACAGCCCTGCCCCTTGCAGTGGGCGCAACCCACAGCAGGGCTGGCCAAGGGATAGAGCTGGTCGCTGGGGCTGGTGCTGCCCTGTATGCTGCACGCAGCTGCCTAAGGCACCATGAAACTTGGGGCAATTTGGTGCCCCAAATTTCACGGTGCCCTACGCAGCTGTGTATGCCCTGCACCCACCCACTCCTGTGTTAGAAAAAGGTGAAAAACCCCCAGTGTCTCTGCCAAGCTAACCTGGGGGAAAATGCCATCCTGATCCCCAAATATAGTGATCAGTTAGACCCTGAGCATGTGGGCAAGGCCCACCAGCCAGACACCTGGGAAAAAATTCTCTGTAGTAACTTAGAGTCCTTCCCATCTAGTGTCCCATCACCAGCCGCTGGAGATATTTGCTACTAGCAGTCGCAGATTGGCTACATGCCATTGTAGGCAGTCTCCTCATCCCCTCCAGAAATGTACCACACTTAGTTTTGAAGCCGGTTAGGTTTATTTGCCCCCCCCCCCCACACACACACACACTGCTCTCTTCGTTTTCATGGGCTCAAGTTATCTGGTACCATAATGTAATTGCATATGAGCTCATACAAGGACCTGGTAGGTCTAAAATGTTGTATAAGAGGGGCAAAAGCACATCAAAACCAACAAGGAGTTTGGTGGCACCTTAAAGACTAACCGATTTATTTAGGCATAAGCTTTCATGGGTAAAAAACCCACTTCTTCAGATGCACAGACTAATACGGCTACCCCTCTGATATAAAGCACATCAGTGCTCTGGGATCTAGGGCTCGATCCAAATCCCATTAAAGTCAAACCCCCAGAGACATTAAAGTGATTGGGCCAGTAAATTCTTTCATTAGGGCAAATATGAAGAAAAGCAAACAGTTGTACTAACAACAATTTACATAGCTGGGATTTTTTTCTGTTTCTTTTATTTTTTGTGTCTGAGTAAAAGATTTCCCTGTACTCACCCCTGAGCTGAGGTGGTAATTCCTTATTTGTGACATCAAAGACTGTGCAAACATTTGCATTTGTCACAAATTTAGCTCATGACTGCTGAAGGGCATGTGATCATTGTCAAGTGGTAGCACAAGACTGTAGAGGCTAAGCCTGCGTACTAGCACCTGTATGCAGGCATAGAGGTTTAGTGAGCTACCTCTAATTTGAACATGGGTTTTTGTGTAACCCTTCTGCCAGGTGGAGCTAGCAGCAACAAGGGCTGGGTTCAGTATCTAGGGGTTCCTTTTCAACAATACAACACAAAACCGGCTGGAGCCCCCGACCTGTTGACCCGGGATAATTACACACCACCCCCGGGCACCTCTAAGAGGCAATACTTCCCCTGTCGCAAGCACAGAATCTGAGTGTAGCAAAAACTTTTAATAAAAGGAGGGAAGTAATTTAGCATTAATTTGGGAAAACACTGCAATTAAGGTTCATAAACACAAACCATGAGTAATAGACCCACCACCAAGTAAGTTGGGCAGTGTCCTTTTCTCCTCAGGGTCTTAAGTCCAGCAACCCAAAAGCTCCTTTAATGTGCCCATCCCTTCTCTGTACCCCACTCACAGTTGCTGTCCTTGGCCAGTGCAACCCCAGAGTTTAGAGGTTCATCTGCAGAGTTCACCTCCCACTCTGTGTGAAGGGGGGAGGGTAAGGAGGCACCTTACACGCTCCACTGCTTGGGCACCTGCTCGTCACCCCAATGGCCGATTGCCATGCCTCTGCAGGACTCTGCTCTGGCCCTCTCCACCAGCCTCTCTGCTGGCCATGCCTGTCCGTCAGCTGCCCGGCTGGCCATCACCAAGATATCTTCAGGGCCCCCTTGACTTAACACAGCTCTCAGTGATTTCAGCTGTTAGCGGGGGAACCTCACTGCTGGTACACATTGGGCAGTCTCTGGTAATAGAGACACTGTCCCAAAGTAGGTCTAATACTTAAACCTAGTTATCAGCAATCAGCTCTGTAGCGTATAACAAGACTCCCAGTTGAGTCTAAAAGGCAAGGGGAAGGATCAAATGGTATCAAAGACCCTTAAACAGAACCCACACCCCTCTCAACTCATTGGGCTTTGGAACCCATGTTCCCTGCCTAGCGAGTGCCATTTAGTTGAGGGTGAGTCCCTCCATTGGCGTATGCCAGGTACAGTTCTGCTGCCCTTGGTTCACACAACAAGGATAACAACGCTTTATTATTCCTGCCCCAATAACAAGGAGACAGGGGATCCAACACCAGCCACAAGTGATCATTTGGGCAAGCAATCCCATCATGCTGAGCACCTAGGCAGGGTGGGTGTGTCCATGCAAACGAGATCAGCTTCTGAAGTCTTTTTCCACAGCTCACCACTAGATGTCAGGGGAGAGCTCATTCAGACTCTGCTTACATTTGTTTTATAATTTGCAAACATTGGAAAGGAAAGCTTAACCCTTAAGGATAATGGATCTAGGGTTTGCAAGAGCTATAGCTGAGTTTCCTGCAGTGTGATAGCCCATCTAAAGGCGAAGGAGTTCAGACCTCCAAGGTGCTAAGAATGCTCTTTTTCCATTGGAAAGAAAATAATCCTGAGCTGCTTCAGGGGAAGAGAGAGGTGATTAATTCATGTTGCGGCCTGTATATTGTAGAGATGGCAATTTGGTTAGATGTGATGAGGAGGCATGTAACATAAATGTTTAGGTAGGTGGATGGAGTCAGGCCCAAGGAGAGGAAGAGTTTGAAAACTCACTGAAATGCCTGTCTGACTACGAGCAAAGAGCAATGTCAGCCTATATATGTGAAACCATGTAAGCGACCACTGCCTGCCATGCTGACCAATATTGTTTCATTATTTATTTGTACTCCATATGTCTAGATCTATCTGTTGTCTCGTCTTATACTGAGACAGTAAGCAATGTGGGGAGGGACTGTGTTTTGTTCTGTGCTTGTACAGCGCCTAGTGTAACCCACACACCTCCTGGGTGTGCTGTTCTGTCCCATCTAGTGGCACCGAGACCACTTAGAGAGAGATTATGAGTCTGCTCTACAGTCTCAGCTAACAGCCAGTTGTTGGTTCAATCTCGCCCGCCCACAACATGGGTCTGTTGGCGTTACACTAGCACAGTGGGATCCTGGTTCATAACTACAGCCCATAGGCATTATAATACAAATAGAAAACAATAATAATACACTCAGTGTGTCCAGATCACTAACCTGGTTAGCATGTGGTTTTGTATTCACAGAACATCATCAAGAAAGTGATTGGACAGAAGTTTGTGTATAAGTTTGTCTCCTTTCCTGAGATTTTGAAAATGGATCCTCATGCCGTGGAAATCAGCAGAGAGAGCCTCTTGCTGCAGGACAGTGAGTGTAAGATGCTTTCCGAAGGCAGAGACCAGCACAAGCACAATGTGTCAGCTCTGAAAAGCACAAGCCGTAATGAATATATCCATTCTGGTCTGTACTCTTCTTTCACCATCAACTCCCTGCAGAACCAGCCAGACACTCACAAGCCAATTAAAACAGAAAAACTGGAGGAGAAGTCAGAGGGAAACATACCAGTGGAAGAAGTCAGGACTGTTATAAGATTTGTGACAAACAAAACAGACAAGCAAGCGATGAGGCCCATTGTGTCATTGCCATCGACGTCCGAAGCAGCAGCTGGCTCTGCTTTTCTCGCCTCTTCAGTGTCAGCTAAAATATCTTCTTTAATGTTGCCTACCACAGCCAGCATTTCATCTACTACTTCTCCGTCTTCATCACGGTCCCCATCTCTGTCTCCTCACTCACCGCTCCCTTCAGATCACAGGAACCTCTTTCTTGAGTCCAGTTGCCATGACTCAGATTCTCTTGAGCCTCTGAACCTCTCTTCAGGTTCCAAGACAAAATTTCCATCTCTTCCCCCAAAGGCTAAAAAACCCAAAGGCTTGGAAATCTCAGCACCGCCCATGGTTCTTTCCAGCACTGATATTGGTTCCATCGCCCTCAACAGCCCAGCACTTCCTTCGGGATCCCTGACTCCAGCTTTCTTTACTGCACAGGTAAGAAATGTCTATCTAATATACTCTTGTTTAGGACAAATAGGTTCTAATTTGGTCAAGACTAAAGGAAGGGTCAGTTTTATGTGCATATGTCTTTCACACTGAAAAGAGTCCATGTGGAAAAAGGGTGTCGGAGATGCCTATATAAAATGTGGAAAGTACAGTCCTTTCTTGCACACACTCCCAGCGCTCTCTTAGTAATGTGGAGAAAAGTAATTACAGTTCACAGAGTGGGTGGAAGGATAATGAGACATTCACTTGGGGCAGCTGTTAACATCGATCAGCTATCGTTTAAAACCAGTTTCCAGGTATGCAGAACAAGGAGGAAAAGGCCAAGAAACAAATACATGTAGCTACTCGGTCAAAATGTGGATGTGTATGTCATGGGATGCTTGGCTGATTTTTCAGTACCACTTGCTGCACCCATTCATAAAGTGTGACATTTTCATTAGCTTTCAAAGCAGATCAAATTAATTGGTTTCTAAGAAAGGGTTCTTAAGCCAATTTCAATTTCAAAAGGCCTTACAGGTTCATAAAGCATTTGCTGCAGTCTCCTTTCTGCATGAGCCTAAGAAATACCCATTTGTTTCTGTTCACTGTAAAGTGGATGTTAACTAATTACATAATCGTAGGAGTCTCAGTGTTGAACAATAGTTGTCCTGAAGGTGGAGTTCACTAAAAATAATGTCATTGGACAAACCTAGTAATTCAAAGGACAAGAGGAAAGTCAGCAAGAAGCAGATGATTTAGTGCTTGCATCATGCTAAGTAATTTGTGTCTGACTGCACCACAGTAAAATTAGAGAGGAAATTGATTTGTAAAAATATGCACAAAGGGAGACTATAGGAATAAAAGTTCATGCAATCAATATTAAGTGAAATTTATTGAATATATAACAAAAAATAAAACAACAAATGGCAGGGTGGCTAACTCACTCACAAAAGCAAGGAAATCTAGGGTTATGATTTAAGCCTTATCCTGAATTCACCAGATATTATGCCTTCCTTTTATTAGAGCCCCGCAGTACTTGGGCACAAGGGAACGATTTAAGGTTGGGTCTCAAATGAATATTAGCTTGTTTGTCTCTACCTGTCATTTGTGCACATCATAAAAACTCCAAGTGTAAAGTACAGTTAGCAGGAAGAACTGGAGTGTGGCAAGCCCGAACTGAGATGCAATGACTAGCATGCAGAGTATCTAGCTGTGATGATAACCATGGTAAGTGTTTTACTTTCAGGGCACAAAAAGGGACAAATAAATCATACCAGGTCCAGAATGGGACAGATTGAAAGCAAGGTCTGTTGCAAGTCTACTTTAATCTAATACCACACCCAGAATCAGTGCAGCCATTTTGATTTGTTTCCTTGTTGGTCCATTCATTCACCATTTCTTTGGATACTTCACTTCCCTGTTATCTATAAAATAGTGTATAACGCCCAAGATTTTCAAAAAGGAAAAATTAGAAAGAGCCTGGTTTGTTTTGTAGTTGACTGTGGGCCTCTTCTTGACTGATACTAACTGTAGTCCATTACCAAACATATCAGTGATTCAGTCTCCATCTGTTTATTCCACCGTTCAGCAAATCTTCCTTAACAGCATGTCCTATCATGTAAGAGACTGAATGCATCTGTGAGAGACATGGTGTGCTCTTTGGGGCCATTTGCTCTCCAGATATTTGGCAGCATCACTGGAGCACAGTAGCTGTTTCCTGTGAATTAACAATTGGTTTTAGGCTTGTTTAAAAAACATCCTACATCTTTAAGAAGTTTGACATAATTGAGCACATAATAAAATACAAAATACATCAACCATATTTAGGTAACAGTAAAGTTATAACAGAAAGTAATGAGATCTAGAGTTTAGGTTGGCACAGTGCAGTTCATCTCATTTTACTTGGGAACGGCAAGTGCTATACATCCAACTACATTTTATATACCAGATTCTGATCTCAGAGACACCTAGGGACCAGACACAGTCAAGGACATATGCCCTCTGTTCCCAACTTTAGAAGTCAGGCAGGGCATTTGAATGGTTCAGCAAGAGCTCACAAAATGCAGCCACTCCCTCTGAGAAAATGATTCAAAATGGCTTCCAACAACTATTCTTGAGCACATAAATAAAACGCTCAGCCAATCAGAGAACCATAACGAAGACCTTACAACTTTTGTAACCAAACAGGACCAACTCAACTTCGAAAAGAAAAAAAAGCGACGTGGAGATATTAGGAAATTTTGCTCTTAAGGGCAAAAAGGAATTGGTACAATTTTTTGGTAGAGTTTTTTTGGATTTTCATTTAATGAATTTGAAAACAGGAATGCTTAAATAACAACAAAATTTGAGTATTTTGTCCAGTTCCATCGCTTGTTCTGCAGATTATTTATCTTTTAGTTTTTGCTAGCACTGTTGCCTTTCTCTGGAAAATGGGGAAAGCTGATTTATGTCTGTTTTCTTGAGGCATCCGCTTCAGAGTTTGTAACTTCTACAATATACTGATTCTTAACGTATTAAATGAGTGTGTACACAACAGCCCCTCCCTTCGCATACGTCATCTGCAGGGCTGGAACCTTTAGCAACATGGTTACAAACCTTACAGCACGTGAGCTAAAGGGGTAATTTCTGTAGGGGTCAGCTATCGTGATGCGACATGCACTGTGCAAGTAACGGTTACACTAACTTTGCTTCTTTTTGGGGCGAAGGTGGGAGCTCTGCTCTTCCTCACTGTAGTGCTGTTTGTGCAATAAATAACGTTTTTATGAAATATTTTTTTAAAGCAGTGCTCCTGCGACTGAGAGAAATCTAATCCATCTGGGCTAGTGTGGTTATTGCTGGCTTTGGGATAATAGCATCCCAGCAGGATTAAAATACAATACTGATTATATTGTCAGTGGGGGCATAACATGAGATGATACATCAGTTTCCACATGTAATTTAAGGACAGGTGACTCTGTTCTGTTGTTTACACCCTAAATTCCTCCTGTGGTTTCACTGCTGTCTGATGGCCTCCGTGATATGAAGACTGGAATGCAGCCTGCACCTCTTGAGTTAAATATTAACCAAATTCGAGCCTTACTGTGGCTAGCTACTGGCTCCAGCTGAAAGTGACAACTCTAGTGCGCTGTTCGGAGGGTGTGGGCTTTACCTTAGTACTATTGTCAGGCACCTTAAGGTATTGATTGACCTGACTGGTTTACAACTCAGTTTCAAATCTCTCTTTAAGTACTAGCTCTTCTTTAGGGGTACTTCAGAGAAATAGGTCTCTCTGCATCCATGATTAGGGATCAGACCTCGGGACACAATTCTGAATAAGCCCCTCCTCCTGCCTTTTGCTCTTTATTTCTTCCCAAAGAACCTTCTTAAAAAGCTGTTGGGTCATTGGGTATTCATAGTCATCTGGATCATGAGAGCTGCTAATATACTTTTTTAAGACGGTTCTCTGGGAAGAAGTAAAAGCAGATGTGGGGTTTATTCAGAACAGTGTCCCAAGACCTCACAGCTAGCTCAGCCTGCGTAATACTGTGTGCTTTGCTGAACTGTGTTGGTTCTGGCTGCAGAGATGGTTGGTTTCAAGACAATGGCCTTTAACTTACATAGATCTCCAACCGTTTATCCTGATCTAGTTCAATTACATCGTTTGCCATATCTCCTGAATTCCCATGGATACACTCCAGGAGGGTGGCTATCAGATAGTAACACAGCCTGGGAACAGCACCACTCACGCTGGCATCTGAAACAACCCAACATGTACATGATTATTAGCTGTTCTTAAAAAGATAGAAATGTTTAGTTTGAGAGTGGACAGAGTTACTTTTAAGGGGCAAACCCTGCTGCCCCCTTCCCCATAGACATAAGGGCCGCGGGCACAGTGAGGCTGGCGTGGTGTTGCATGGGGAGATGGGAGTGCAGGATTTGGGGGGCATGCTTGGTGAGCCTGGACCTCTTACATTCTGCACAGCCTACTCCACAAGGGCTTTCCGCATGTTACTTGGGATGAGGGGAGGAAATCAGCATGGGGGAGGGGAGGGAGTTGGCAAATATGTGGCTGTGAGGGAGAGCATAGTGGCTTTGGAGGCTACTGCATCCTTGAGAGAGGGCGCGTCCATATACATTTTGGCCTTGTCAACACTGTTGGATCCATGCTAGTAGCAACAGCACCTAGCAACCTGCTATTAGTAAGATCCGGTGTGGCTTACTCCATTTCTTTAACCTGCTCTCCTGTTACCAACCCTGGGGTTTCTTGCCTGCTCTTTTCCTCTAGCACCTTTCCATCCAATCACTCCATCCTTTTTCTCTTCCTCTTCCTCACTGTTCTCAATATTTCACTCTCACCTGCTTTCCTTCCTCACAGGACTCGATTGCTCTGGTATCCCGGTCTTCAAAAAAAACCATTGTCCCCACTTGTCTATCCAGTGGCAACCCTCAACTCCCTTCTTACCTTCACCCCTAAATGTATTCGCAAAAAGAAAAGGAGTACTTGTGGCATCTTAGAGACTAACCAATTTATTTGAGCATAAGCTTTCGTGAGCTACAGCTCACTTCATCGGATGCATGTCACCTGCAATCCTGTCCTCCAAATTCCTCTGCTTTGCTCTGCTGCAACTACTCTTCCCAGGGCCAGATCTCCCTCTCTCCACTGTGTATTCCTGCTCCTTGACTTCCCTGCTGCGTTGGAAGCCATCGATCAGACTCTCCTCTAAATCTTGCCCACCCTTGTTTTCATCATGAAGCTCTCGCATGGTTCTCCGCCTGCATTTCTGGCCATTCCTTTATCATCTCTTTTAGTGGGTCATTGTCCTCCCTACACCCACTGTTTATGGGTTCTGCAGGGTTCCATCCTTTGCCCCATCTCGTCTTGATTTACAGCCTTTCCCTTGGGTGGTCTCATCTGCTCGCACAGCATAAGCTACCATTTTTACATCTACAATGACTGGTAACTCTACCTTCCAACTCCTTACCGACCTGTCTGCCTCCCTCCCACCAATCCTGCACATGAGCCTCTCTCTCCGACATCTCATCCTAGATGTCTTGACATAAGCTTAAACTTGACATGGCCAAAACTGAACTTCTGTCTCCACCCCTCATCGCCTTCCCACTCCCTCATCTGCTTTGTCCTTCTTGACATCACTACTGAGATTCTCACTGGCGTGCAGGCACCATAATTGGGGGTCATCTTTGACTCTTTCCATTTCCTGGCCTGACCCGTCCAAGCTGTGTCCAAATCCTGCTGCTGCTTCCTCCATAACATTTCCAAAACCTGACCTCTCCTTTGTTCACACTGTTACAGTTCTTACCCCTGCCCCTCCCTTTACTTCACAACACAAGCACTATACTCTCCTCCCACTTTGGCCCTCCCAACACCCCTCTCCAATTCGGACACACACAGCTGCTAAGATCACCTCGGTTTTGATTCCCAGTTTTACACTGCATCCAAAGTCAGGCGTCTTGCCATCCATCTCCTTTCAAGCCCTTCACAAGTTCGCCACTCCCATCTCATCTGCTTTTCTCTCTTATGTAGCCCCCTTGCTCTGCCAATGAGGCTGGCCTTCAACTTCCATTTGTCCGTTTCTCCCACAAACATCTCTGTGCTTTCCTCCGTGCTAACCCTTATGCATGAAGCACCTGCTCTGTGAGAGCTGTAAGGCCACTACCTGCTCCTTCAAAGTCTTTCCACAAGCTCCACTTCACGTGAGAAATCAGCCACTGAATAGAAATTAGACTTCTTCGTTTTTTAAAGACCCACCTTTGCAATAGGGTGTGGCTCTCAGGTTGTGTGCATTGCTAGCCTAGGTCACGGTGTGATCTCCTGCCCCACTCTACCCTTCCCAGCTTCTGTTTGCTAAACGAACCTCTTGTTTCGACTTCGATTGCAGGTATGTCAGGGCAGGTGTGAGTCTTCCTGTGGATTTGTACAGCACCTGGCTCAATGGAGCTCTAATCCTCACAGGCCCCTTAGGTATCTTCACAATACGAATAGATCATCATTTGGATTTTAGAATTCCTTAACTTCTGGTCTCTCTCTGTCTAGTCTTTACTGTGCCATTAGCTGTGGTGTCTGAGCAACATAATGTGTGCTCGTGCACATGCAAAGACAGATGTGACAGTAAACAGTTTGAACAAACTCAAATGAGACCCTTTATGGGGGCAAAGTGTATACCCTTGGCCATAGGGGAGGCGAATAGAGAGCAGGAGCTCAGCCACAACAGTATGAGACACGTAGGATTATGTGAGTTGACTGACTGGGGGGACATTAATTCCCCCCAAGGAGTCATGAGATTCTTCTCCTTCCCCCAAAGGTTTTAAATACAGCCAGCCCCCCATTCAGCAAAACATTTTCCTGTTCAGCAAAGTGCAGGCTCAATTTTAAGCATGTGCTCATGTTCCATTAAAGTCAATGAGATTAAGCACGTGCTTAAATCTGTTCCTGAAAAGGGGTGATTTGCTAATATGGGCCCTGGGGTTTGAGAAAGATTAGCTCAGGTATTTCAAACCCTTGTGTTCAAAGCTTATCACAGCACTTGTGTCACTTTCTTATTCGGAATTCTAGAAGTTATTTTGGATACAGAATGGCGCGTGTGATTTTAGACTCTTTTTCTTTAAACACAGAAATTTGCTTGCCAGATGCTTTTTTATTGTGTCCAGCCTGCAATTCCACTTTGAAAACACTATGAGAAAACTCACAGCTCTGTACCCGAGTCATGACCCTGCAAATAGCAATCTGTGAGCACAGAAAATCCACAGATTCTTAGTTCTATGGATTTAGATTCTTAGCATAGAATTAGTTGCATTCTCTGGAGCCTTAGCTGTCACTCTGGTTGTAAACCCACCCTTCACTGCAGAAACCAATACAATGCCACTTTGTTAAGCCTTCTTTCAAACAGAGTGAAAGAGAAGCGCCAGTTAGGGGAGTGAGCTTCAAAGCCTAGCTGTGGATCATTTGACTCCAAACACTATTGGGTTAATAGTCCAAAAGATCTAGCCAGGGCGAGTAACTGTTAGTCTACAAAAAAACAAACATTATTCTGACAGAGCTTAGAGTTTTACATTTATAGGCAGTGTCTAAAATGAGGTATGCATGGTATTGTAACACTGTGATACTGATATGCATCAAATCATGTGGTTCTGATTTGAATCTTCTTAAACAAACCTGAATGGCAATAAAATCACTTTGAAAAGGAGATCATTTTATAGCATGGGATATTAAATTACTGTTCTGAAAGGGTCAGTAGACTGGGGGGGAGGAGGGGACCTCAGAACTGTTGCAAAATGTTGATGGAGCTGTAACAGTCCAGCCTATATTGTCTTCTGCCTCAAGGCACACATTTGGTATTTTTGTCTTCCAGACCCCAAATGGATTACTGTTGACCCCAAGTCCACTGCTGTCTAGCATTCACTTCTGGAGCAGCCTTAGTCCTGTAGCTCCTTTGAGTCCTGCCAGGCTGCAAGGGCCAAACACCTTGTTCCAGGTAGGTTTTTCTTGTGGACACATTTCATTTCTAAAGGTGGCTTTCTTTGATGCACGTACTGATGTTACCCTGCTGTCTTTTCAGTACGTGCACCAAAAAAAGCCACCGAAGGAGACTGCAGAGTAAAGAGACTGCCTTGCAGCTGTTGAAGGTGGGAGGGAAAGCAATGGAAAAGGCTTTGGAAAAAATCATGGAAACCAAGGCCTAGCCTTGTACAGAAGGTAGTAATTGATCCTTCTATTATGTGAAGGCGCCTGTCACTGAGGAGTTGTGGGTAATGCATGGGCCTTTTACTCAGAAGATCTGGGCTCAGTTCCCAGCTCTGCTACAGATTTCATGTGTGTCCTTGGACAAGTCACTTAATCCCTCTTTGCCAGAGTTTCTCATCTGTGAAATGGGGATAACAGCACTTCTCTGCAGCATAGGGTGTTGTGAGAATAAATTTTCGAGAGCAAATTGGATTGCATAGTGAAGAGCACCACACAAAACCCAGTAAAGACATGAATAAATCACTGTGGAATATAAGCCATCCAAAGCCCCAGTGTCCATCCAGAAACTGGAAAGAGGATGGGGCTATCAGCTCCTCCACACGCCGGCCAACTGGAGCTGTTGCCAATCAGCTGATTCAATAGGGCACAGGAAAAAAAATACGTATCAGCTAATTGGCAGGAAGAAAGCTGGTGAGTCATAGAGCAGCTAAAGAACGCAAGGAAAAGCCCTGGAATGAAATCCCACAAGTGCCGGGGCAGACCAGCACTGACACAGTGTGTGGAAGTTGGGGAACAAAGACACCCCAGCCCCTGAACTCAGATGCTGGCGGAAAGGCGGCCATATTATACAGCAGAGTCACAAGGGCTGGGAGTGATGTGATCACAAATACTCCAGCTCCACACTGGGGTTACAGGTTTCAGAGTAACAGCCGTGTTAGTCTGTATTCGCAAAAAGTAAAGGAGGACTTGTGGCACCTTAGAGACTAACCAATTTATTTGAGCATGAGCTTTCGTGAGCTACAGCTCACTTCATCGGATGCATACCGTGGAAACTGCAGCAGACTTTATATACACACAGAGAATATGAACCAATACCTCCTCCCCCCCCACTGCACTCCTTTCAGTTATAATGTGACTTTACGTACAACAGTTCTAGGGCTCTTTGTTTCACCTCATATAAACTCATTTATTCATATTGTGCTATTATTTTGCACACGATTGGAAACATCCAGACATTTGAGATGGATGCCTCCAAGACTTGCCCTGTAATGAGACTGCACGTGCATCGAACAACCTACAGTGACAACTGGAAGTGAAAGTGGATTTGGCTCTGTCACATCTGATGGACCCAAAAGGCCTTATCTGAATAATACATGGTTCAGAAAAAAGGCCAAGGTGACAAATCTGTAGTGCATAAAGTTTTATTTTACAAACCAAATAGGAAGTGGCAACAGCAGCTGAAATGGAACTAACCCACCGAGTTGGAGTTTTCTTCCCTACAAAAACAGACTTAGCCAAGACAGGGTCACTTGGGGATCTCCTGTCTCACGCACCTGCACATGTAAAACTCTCCCCGGACTAGGGATGCTACATGTATCCCTGCAAGGGCAAACCCACCCTTCAGAATTCTAGCGAACAAATCTAGGAGTCAAGAAAAAAAGAGCTGGCTGCATGCCCGAAGGAAAAGGTGGTCTCATGCGGACACGTTTCTGTTCCCATTGAGGGTTAACTGAACATTCGTTGCTTGCTGAAACACGAAGCGGAAACCCTGAAAGCAGTGGGGGCTGAGGGTAATACATCCTAAAGCTAATTGACTCTCTCTTTCCTTTTCTGGGCCCTTGACTTTAATAGAAGCAGGACTAGACCCCAGTTTCTTTTTTCCAGGTGCGTAGCATCTTCCATAGTAGAGAACAGGCAGGACTTGGCTATAATTAATTAATATTAATATTGCCACAGCGCCCAGAGGCCTCAATCAGGATGGGTCCCAGTTGTACTGTGTGTTGTACAAACACACAAGAAAGAACAGTCTCTGCCCTAAAGAGCTAAGGGGATTTTTTGTTACTGAGGCTACTGTACACAGACAGATCTGGTAGTTCTCGCTGACTAACAGCCCATACTGGGTCACCTCACAGGCCCTCCTTGGGTATGTCTACCACGCCCGCAGCAGCTAGCCTCCCTGCCTGGGTTGACAAACTTGGGCTTGTGGGGCTTTCACTAGCATCCTAAAAACAGCTGTGTAGAGAGTGTTTTGAAAGTGTGGCTTGGGCTGGAGCTTGAGCTCTGAAGCTGAGGCGGGAGAGTGGACTTCAAAGGGCTTCTACAGACCCAGGTTGGGAGGCTTGCTGCCGTAGGCTGTGTAGACATACCCCTTAAGAGCTGGACTGGATTAGGTGGTAACAGGATGGAGTGCTGACTACACCGTGTTGGGTGAAAAGGGAGAAAAGAGGAGGATCTTAGCATTCTTGTTAGACCCCTGCTTCTTCCAGTGTTAACGTACCGTGGCTTTGGGACAGGACAGTCATCCTAGCAGAAGGCTGTTGGATAACGAGGCAGAGAGTGGCACTCCATGTTGAGCGAGAGCGATCAGCACACGCCTCTTCCTGGATGAAGTGCTCTTTATATTTTGTTCTGAAACTAAGCGGCCATTAAGTGCCTCACTAGAACAACACTGGAATACATACACAGCTAAAACAACTCCCACATCCCAGTGTGTGGGGAGAGAATTGTGCCCATTCAGCCTTGGAGAAAATGAAAAGAGCCACTGAAATCTGCAGTTAATTTTGCCTCATTCAGTTTACCTCCATAATTTGGCTTAATTGGAAGATCTTCCTGTGGAAATAATACTAGAATGTAATTAAACTCACTTTAGATTTTCATCATTAGTTTGAAAGTTACTGCATAACTGGGGCAACGAGAGACTTGTACATAACTGGGTTTTATCCTAAAATAAAGCCCCAAGGGAATGCAACCAAACTTCATTGAAATCTCAGCTGCTCAGTGATCCCAGTTAAACTATTGTATTCTCTTGGCTTTGATTATTTATTATCTGTACTACAGTAGCACTGAGAACTCAATCAAGGATCAGGGCCCCATTGTGCGAGGCACTGTACAAACAAGTGGAAAAAAAAACAGTCTTTGCCCCAGAGAGCTCTCCATCTAAGTCTCCATCTCATCCATAAAACACAACAGGTGGAAGAATTGGACAAAAGGGTAGGGGGATGAGGTTACAGTAAAAACAGCACTTTTCCCATAATAATCAGTAGTCTCAGCACCTCACCTGCCTAGTGAGTCTGCCAATTATGATACAAACCATCTCTCTTTTGTTAGTCTTAGAAACCACACGAAGGACATTTTAGGTTACATATCCCTCTTGAAGAGCATACAGTATAAAAACAAGAAACTGGAGGGTTCTTTCCTGTAATCAGTTGAAATCAAACAGGTAAAAGATTTTCCAGGGGCCTGATGGTGATTCTGGTGGCTGGCGGATAGAAAGAAAGCCTGCAGGAAACAAACCAGTACTGACACTTGATACAGCCTTCAGCATGGTGCACTGACCCTTACTGCCCAAGGCTGGTCACATGGAGTGGTGCTTTTCAAATTTCAAACTGAGTGATAAAAAGTAAAATCTTTAGCTAAAACCTGGAGCTAGCATAAGAACACAGTGGCAATGAGGATTGCTCTCTCTGTCCTGTAAGGATATTAGAGTATATATTATTTACACACCCACCCCATTTTGGTGTAGCTGTTCAGTTTTAACAAAGTGGCAGTTTTGGACTGGGTCATTCAGTATTTTGGGCCCAATCCTTTAAGGTGCAGCAACCTCAACGCCTGTTGAAATCAATGCGTGTTGAGGGTGCTCAGCACTCCCATTTAAGTAACGCCTCATAGAATCAGGACTAAGTCTGGCGATAAAATAGTCTAATATAATCCTTAGCACATTTTAAAAAACTAATTCTGAGCTTATAATGTAACAGGCTTTTCTTACTTTCCTACCTAGCTCCCTCGCTAGTCTTAGATCTTAAATACCAGTCAATACACATTAAGTGCAAATAAGCTGCAATCAGGGTGCAAGGGTGTACAACCAGTATACTGGGGTATTAGCTTAGTTAATATTCTTTGCACAGCACTTTGAAAATGTGACGTGCTTAATACTTATATCCCTTAGCCACATGACAAAGGGTCCCTTGTAGAGAGCTGACAGATTCTACTGAATACACATACACTTTTTCAACATAATTTTGAAGGCTTATATATTCCCCCCCAGACACACACACGAAACTGTATCCTGAGTTTAGTTTCATTTTTGCAAGAATCTTCATTCCGTATCTCTTTCAGACACCTTAAAAACACAAAGGTGTTAATTAATGTCTTGTAAGATTACAGAACATTCTTCCTTTATGCATAACAATCAACAAATCTTTCATCATACTGCTCAATTTTGTGAGCTGATGACAGTTGTCTTGTAGCATTAGCTAGCTATATTTTCTTGTACATTTAAGAAAAAGAATATCCTTTCATTAATACATTTTACTCATTATTATTTGAATCAAAGCTTGTCATTTAGGAACTACAGCCTTTGAAAGGAAAATCATCTGGGTTCAGTTGCTGGGGCTGAGTGCATATGCAGTAATCTTTTGAGATAATGAATGAATTTTACCTTTTGTCCTCTTGCAGTTTCCAACTCTGCTCAATGGTCACATACCAGTACCAATCCCCAGTTTGGATGGGGCCTCTTCTCCTGTACTGCTTTCTCCAAATGCTCAGAAATCCTGATGATGTCTTATCACGTTAAGGACTCATTAACTGATTTTAATACATTCATTCCCATGGGTTAGTTTTTCCTGTGTCATGAGAAGGACATTGTGAAACCCTCCATTTCTTTGGTTTGCACTTTTCATTACATGGATCTACTTTTATGTTAGCATTTTTAAACTGTGTTTTTATATATATAAAAATCTGTTTTGCATTAAGTGAATTATAATTTTGTTTATCATAGCTCTCAAGTGTTGAACACTGTTGTTGATGAAGTACTTTTCTTAATGGATTTCAACAATGTATCTAATAAGGATGTGAAGCTTTTTTTATCCCTTTTTTCTGCATATTATGCATTGTGCTTGTGTAAAGTATAACCGGCTGTGCCTTCTTTTGCATAATGTTATGCAAATGATTTATATATTTTCTAGTATTAAGATAAAGGTTGAAAGACATAACTAGTATTGAACAGCCCTATGGTAGTATTTCAGTATTTTTTCCACAGATAGGCCATAATGATGCAGTGTATTCATGTAACTTTGTATTAAGTGCTTCCAAATTGTATAAAAAATAGCTGTATGATTTTTCTTTGCTGAATTGAAGGAACATAATAAATGTTATGTCCAGGAAATGCATTTAAGAATAACTAAGCCATAGCTAGACAGATGCTGATGCCCACTTTCCTCTCTGGTGTAACTCCATTGACTTTAACAGTGTTACACCAGGGAGGGATTGGGTCCTAAACATTCATAAAATGTTTTAATGGCATTTTGTAAACATGTCTGCAGAGAAAGAGGACTCACTCAATACCTATTATTTTCATAAATTGCTAATGAATTGTTGGAATAACAGCTGAAAAGATCCATCATGTACTCTCCATCCTCCTGGCTGATGCAGCATTGTTCCCTCTATTGGTTTTCCAACTGCTTTGTCCAGTTGTTACAAATGCCTTTCACTGCTTCCCTTGGAAGAATATTTCAGCTACTTAGCTATCAGAATATGAGGCTTTCTCCAAAGCTGCAGAATTTGTAGAACTTTAAATTAACACCTTGTGCTTGTAAAGAGACCTACCGTATTCATGGGATTGTATACGTGGAAACATCAAGTATTTGAGAACTGTGGATTCAGAAGTGATACTGCATCACTATCTGTATACAACCTAACGATTCATGTATTAAGCACGCACTCTAGCTTGAGGTGGTGGCTTAGTCATCTCAAAGTGTCAGGTTAGAAATACCTAGACTGCGTGGCACCACAGATTCCAATCTTGGCAGGGTTGACACAAACCTTCTGTCTTTTAAGATAGATAAATTGCGTTGAGTGCGGTATCCTGTGTGGATCTTATTATACTTGTAAGAAGCACACAGGATCTTCATAGGGAAGAAGGCAGCAGGATACATTTATTGAGACTACAACAGTTAGAATATGCTTTTCAATCTCGCACACACACACACTCCTGCCAGTTGGTGTTTATAGTTACCAGTCCAGAGTCTGGATCAATCTAGTGGCCAGCCAGACTGGTCACAGAGGGGAGTAAACATTCCAATACACCTCCGAGAGGGTTATCCTGTCCTGGTTCTGATTTAATCAATTGTCCTGTCTTGAGAGGTGCCAGCCTTCACCTCAAGGTTGTCAATTTGCCCTTCCTTCATTATGGATGCGCGTTGAAAAGTCTCTTTACTCCTTTTTCCTTGACCATCTGGCTATAACAATGGCGTTCACACCTTATCTCTTCCTGATGCATACATTCCTCATTCACACAAACAGTCTTTTTACAGAGACCTTTGAGAATACAAACAGTGTCAGTTTACTTTGAATCTCCTTAACACAGACACAATACAAGATCCTGTCTTTTACTTACTAAACCTTCAAACAAAGAAATGTATATTTAACTAGAGTGCCTAATTTGTAATACATATAGGAAACCATAGTAGACATGAAAACTTATCCTAAAACAAAAAGGTGGCTGGTAAAATGAAATCAAGACATACATTAGTACCTCTATTCTTAGAGTACAATTATAAAATCCTGCTCCTACATAGCCCTCTTTTGACCCTTCAAGAACAATTCTTGAGTGGGTCATATCTTATATAATTGTTTCATAGCCACATATTGAGAGGCAATTTGAGCTTGTGGGTTCTAGCTTTGCATACATTTGTTTTATCCAACAGCAGATTCCAAACATCCCAATTAAACAAATCCAATTTAAAACAAAAACAATTAGGGGGTGTAACATTGCAGATAGTATGTCAGTAGTTGTGGGAGACCATCCAGAAAATGTGTCATACCAATGGTAAGCTATTTGTCTTCTGCAGTGGCAATTGTTAACATGTCCCCGTGTAGCGCCCCCTCTCCACCTGATTACCTCCTTTAATGCCAATCCACTTACAGGTCTGGGTTCTTTTGGATCCCGCCACCCACTCAGAGGGGTGTATCTTCTTTTTTTTCCCTATGAAATTATTGGGCGGTGCATCCACCCCCCCTTGCTCCTTCCGGGCAGGGTCCCCTGGGCAGCTTGGGCGGAAAATTCTAACTACAGGGTAATCCCCACTTACTTGCCAGGTAGTTGGAAACTTCCAAGAAATAACACAAACACAATATATTCAACACAATAATTATATTAAACAGGAGACCAATATAACATAACAGGGTAAAACACTATTTTTAGGGTCACTGGTGCCCACACTGCAAATACCTGTGATTTGATGCAGCAAATGTAACATTAGTGTCCCGTTGGTACGTGTACTTTGCTGGGGCCCTTGATGACCTATAACCACAAAATTCTTCTTTGCAGTGATTTAGCAGCCTGGCTGACTGGGTTCACTACAGCCCAAAGGACTCACAAGTGGGAGAAGGTGGTAAATCCCTCCACAGGTGTAATACGCGGCAGGTTGTAAAATCCTCAAACCCTTCCTCCCTGGCTTGAGGACACAGTTCAGGGAGTAGGGGGTCCCCAAAACAAATTCCCTGACTAACTAACTAAAAGATGGTGCACTCACAAACTCCATGTATGATCCTCAGGTTCAAAGATGACTCTGGACTCCTCAGTCACTGCAGAGGGGCTGCTCTCTGCTGGCAGGGATCAGGCTGCATCGGTCCCAGGCTTTCCCCTCACCACAAAGGGGTGCAGGGCTCAAGGTGTAGGTTACACAACTACACTAACATCCAAACTGTAGCCTCCTAGCCCAGCCTCCAGACACACACTCACCAGGCAGCTTCCCTGGCCTAGCAGCCAGAGCAGAGCTGACCATGCGGTGACTGGTCTCACCCAAGGAGCTGGAGGGCGAACTCAGCCTGGCTGGGGAAGTTTCCCAGCAAACTCTACAAATTGGGAATCATCAGTGGGGAAGGAAAAACCCAGCGGAGGGATCTGCTGTCAGGTCCCTAGAGGCCTGTTCTCAGGGGGAACCCTGCATGCAGGCCCAGGACTCACCAGCTCCCAACACAGCCAGTCCTGCCCTTTTCCTGGCTGGCTCCAGACTGGCTCCAAAATGGCTTCTCCCCTTTTCTCAACTCCCTGGGAGGGCCTCTTACTCCTTATTGGTTGCCGGGCAGACTCTGAGTGTGCCTTGGCTTCCCCTCCCTCCCAGGGACAGTGGGCCTCTCCCTGAGCTACCAGCAGACAGGGTCCCAGGAATCTAGGTAATCTCCTTGGGGGTTACACCCGTTTGCATGTATAATATGAATGGTTCGAATTCCCACATTGCCTTTTGTTTGTTCTAGGAACAGTGTTACTTCTTTACCTTTTAACAGGTGATTGGTAACTTTCTGGTTTCAGAGTAACAGCCGTGTTAGTCTGTATTCGCAAAAAGAAAAGGAGGACTTTTGGCACTTTAGAGACTAACCAGTTTATTTGAGCATGAGCTTTTGTGAGCTACAGCTCACTTCTGCCATTCAATGCCAAGATTCCTAGAATCATATCCATGTGAATCTTGGCACTGAATGGCTGAAAGCTACCAATCACCAAGACTGATAGAGAACTTAGCTAAATCAGTGCTCACAGTAAGCGGAGACTTCTTTGGTTGTGGCAAATAGTCAATGTGATTATTGGTAAACACAGTACTTACATTACATATACATTCGTTTACTGGTGGGTTGCTAACACTTGTATCCTCCCAAAACACCTCTTTCCAATAATTAACACGTACACATAGCCCATTATACAGTACTTTGGTCTTGTTATTTAATTTATTCCACATACACAATCCTAGTGAAATGTCTTTTACTACGGGGGAGCAACAGGCAAGGACAAGTACACCCACTTTTGAGGAGTTCACTTTGGTACAACCTCTGGTGTTTAATAGCTTCCCTCCCTCCCCAGCCCACTGGCTCAAGGTCCGGGGTAATCAGAAGGATCCCATGTGCAATATGGGGAGTGGGCTAACTTTCCATATCTTTGCTTCCAGAGCCAGTTGGTGTGTGATTTTAACAACAATTTCCCCAATTAAAAGGTCTGGCCTTACTATGCTAGAAACATACTGCATTCATTTGTACTGATAAGTATCAAACAGTGATTTTTTTCTTTGCTTTAGCAAGTGTATCCAAACCTTAGTGTTTCCTGATATTACCCAAAACATTTTTGTGTTCCAAGGTGGACAAAGCAAGTATCTGCATTTCAGTACATCCCATAGCTATAGCAGTATGGTTTTCACTTCCATTTGTTTCTGTATTAGGTTGTCCTGTAAGACAAAACATAGAACACAAACCACAATTTCTATTGTGACCGTAGATTCATGGTATTCTGGATTGCTCTTCAGGTGGTATCAGCTTTTTGTGATTTTCTGAAAGACAAAAAGAACATGTTTCTACCCCTTTTGGGGTGGCAGATTATTGCTTAAAATATCCCTTTCTTTTACAAATATTCTTGCTGATTGCAGGCAAAACAGAGGAATTACACCCATACTTTCCTGTGTTTTGTTCTATAGGCAGGCCAGGTTTCAATGGCTTCTACCTTTTAAGGGTTATGGGGAAATTATCCCACTGTTTAGTCATTAAATCCATGAGGTGGGGTACCTCAGTTTCCCTTCTTATACAGCAGACCAAGTGTATAATGTTTTTCCTGCTGTGTTAAGCTTTAAGTTTATTTACAGGTAATAGTTGAGAAGCATCGTTACCATATGACCGTAAAGGATTTAAAGAAAATCATACACACTATACTTTGTTACAGGGGTACTTATTAACATTAAATCTATTAAAGGTATCTTGTTATACCATGCCTGCTATTTAGACAATTTGTTTGCTGACCAGGTATGTCCTTTATCTGCATCTCCTTTGTGCTGCTTTCTTTATCAGTTAGGTAATTTGCATTAACACAGACGCTTTCTGGCTTGCTTTTGGATCCAAAGCCATCAGCAGCTCAGAGAGACTGTTTTAAAAGAGACACAATCAACTTTCACCAGTTCTGATTACTTTTAACTCCTGCTTTCAAAACACACAGCAATCTGAAAAAGAAAATCCAACCTATTGTGGCTCCCTTTGGAGCCCTAATAGCATTTTAATTAAGTAGTATGGTATGTTTGCATTTCTTTTACCCCTTCTACAATATACACTGCATGTTTTGGGGCAAATGCACATTCCTTTCATAGTTTAACTTCTATAACATTATTCATATTAATTTTTACATAAGGTGTAACTA